TAAACTACAAGAAGGAGCCCACCCGAAGTAGCCCACAAGCCTCAGATCTACTCGAAACGATGCTCAAAGAATAGCGAGACAGTGCGCTAAAAATACTGGCAGGACCTATGTGAAAACATCCAATCTTGTGCCGACTGTGGTAACATCAAAGGACTATAGAAAAAGCCTTTAGACCTCACACCAGTGTGCCCCACTCAAGTCAAAAGATGGCTCAATCATCAGTGATCGTGCACTGCAACTGGAGCGATGGGTAGAGCACTATGCAGAACTTTACCAGATTGAAAATGTCATCTCGCCAAATGCTTTGTCTAACTTCCCAGCACTTCCAGTTAAACGAAATACTCTCTGTAAAGGAACTGAGCATAGCCATTGACATACTTACACACAAGAAAGCACCCGGAGGAGATGGTATTCCTGCAGAAGCCATTCAGGCTGGAAAGCATGGCTAATCAAGCCACTACATGAACTGCTAAGTTTTGTGCTGGGAGCAAGGAATAGTCCCCCAGAAATTAGAGGATGCCAATATAGTAACAATTTACAAAAATTAGGGCGACCGCTCCGATTGTAACAATAATAGAGGCATCTTACTTCTTAGCATAGTTGGGAAGGCTTATACCAGAGTAATACTGAAGCGGCTGCAGATCTTGGCTGAACGAGTTTACCCAGAATCGCAGTGTGGCTTTAGGACCGGTAGATCCACAACAGATATGATCTTCTCCCTGTGGCAGCTACAGGCGAAAAGCAGAGAACAAAGGCAGTCCCTCTTTAAAGATTTTATTGTCTTGACCAAAGCGTTTGACCTTGTCTTCAGAACCGGCTTGTTTGTCTTATTAGAGAGAATCGGCTGTCCAAACAAGCTACGGAAAAACTAGTGTCAGCTTTTCATGAAAATATGCAGGGCACCGTAGAGTTTGACAGTTCCGCCTCTGGGACATTCTCCATCAAGAGCGGAGTAAAACAAGGATGTGTTCTGGCTCAAACACTATTCGGCATCTTCTTTTCAGTTGTACTCACCAGCGCTTTTAAATCCCTGGAAGATGGAGTATGTAAAAAAAGGCTAAATGGTGTAATGTTGAAGAATGCGAATCTCGTGGACTGCTGGGTTCCTGCTTCCCGGAGTACTCTTGACACGTGACAAACATATATACCACAAATTGACTTAAGTCCGTTTCAGCAAACAAATATAAAGTTTAGCTGATAAAAACAATAATAATACTGCACTCCTTGTTAGTGCTACAAGCCAAGAAAATTCTATCCGCATAAAAGCGGTATAAAAAATATCCAATACGTTAAACTCTCCTGAGTATATTACAAATCACGTCCGCATCTCAGCGGGTAACACTGTACAAAATAGTCCAGAATAATACTAGAAATACATGTCTAAAAAAGACCACTGGCATCAACTGCCCAAAAGATACTTCGAGTTACAACTCGACTAAAACGCTACTACTACAATCATATTTGACTGCCTCGTCTAGAGGATAACACTTGACTGACTTGACTGACTTGACTGAACTCAAACTCAACTTTATTCATTCTACTTCCTGTTTTCTACATCAGGAATTCCACGTGTCTTTTAAACTCTTAACATGACGTGAACATTAAATCAGGCAATGTCAACTGAGACTGTGACAGAGTATAAATCCACAGTAGATCCGATGGAAAACTATTTAACCTGTCACGCCTTAAAGCCAAAAACAAAGAGACGGCGTATCTTGATTAGAGAACTGCTGCTCGCGGATGATGCCGCACTCATATCTCATTCACAAGAAGGATAACAGAGGTTTGTTAATGCTCTGGCATCTGCATGTCAAGAGTTTAGCCCTACAATAAGCCTCTCCAAGACTGAAATCCTGGCACAAGATGTCGCACCAGTGATACATATTGGAAATCACACACTTACGGTGGTGCAGGAATTCACATATTTGGGAACAACAATAGCCAGCAACCTCGATTTAGACACTGAGCTGACAAAAAGAATAGAAAAGGCTTCTGCAGCAATGGCAAAACTCTCCAAGCGTGTGTGGGAAAATACCAAATTGAAAACGGCAATTGCTTCTACCTACGCTGCTTGCGACGCATAATTTGCATCTCCTGGAGTATCGTGTCACCAGCCAGGAAGTTTAGACACGGGCCTACATGCACAGCATCTATGCTCTCCTTCAACAGAGAATACTACGCTGGCTCGGTCATGTCACTCGCATGCCACACGGAAGAATCCCTAAAGACATTATATACGCTGAGCTTGTAGAGGGTGTCAAACCCAAGGGCCGCCCAAAACTAACCTATAGAGATGTCTGCAAGCGAGACTTGAGAGCCATGGGCATCGACCAAAGTATGTGGGAGGAGATAGCCCAAGACCGGACAGCATGGAGACAGACCGTACGTGCTGGTACGAACTTCGCCGAATGCAGCAGAAACGAAGATGCGTCAGCCAAGAGAAAGAAAAAGAAATCCGCCTTGTCAGCTAGCCCTAGGACAGATAAATATACATGCACAAACTGTGTCAAACTCTGCCGCTCCAGAATTGGCTTGATCAGCCACTCCAGATTCTGCCCCATCTCAAGAAGTAACCAAAGCCAGTGACTCATCTGGGCGCACCCATTGTCTTCCGACACAGAAGGAGCTTACATATATATATTTATTTATTTATTTATATATATATATATATATATATATGTTAATGTGTGTGCGACCTTCTGACACTGGACTGGACTGCTAATACACGCAGATATAACCCGTGTAATGGTCATGTGATAGAAAGCCTTCGAGACGAGAGACAGTGTGTAAGAAAGGGCTGTTCAGTCCAGGACAACAAGGCAGTAAGGATGGTGCGGGAACTCAGGTGTTCGAGGCCAAAGAAATTAGTAGTGTTTAGTAGGCAGTTCTCTAAGGAAGAAAGCATTTGAAGCTAGTGGAGCCAATTGTGTTTTATTGGCTGTTGATGTTTTTGTAATTAAACCGCCACATTGTTATTTGAAGCTCTTGTTCTAGACGTAATGTGTTATTGAGCAATGTTTACAGAAAGCCTGGTAGAGAAAGTCATAACAATCTATACTTTTTATTTCGTAGCGGAGGTTCTGGCTACGTGATGAGTAAAGAGTCCCTGAGAGTGTTAAACGAAGTTGGTTATGCCAAGAAACTCTGTGACGAGGATGGCGAGTATGAAGATCTTAGAATGTCCATGTGCATGAAACTGATGGGCGTGCCTACAATCAATACAGTGGATGACCAGGGACGAAACAGATTCAACTGTCTCTCCATATACGCTCATTTGATTGGACTCTATCCACCCTGGTATTATGAACTGGATATTAACGGAGCCAAGAAGGTTAGAACTCTTCAGTTTAACTCTTTATAACATAGTTTGTTATTGAGATATAACTTTTAATTATGGAAATTTATAATCACCCAAAATGTATGTCCACATTTCCGACATTTTTTTTGCCCCATTATTCGCTTGCCAAAATTGCAATTAAAGAGTGTAACACACAACTTTTAAGAAATGATAAAAATAATCTTAACACACAACTTTTAAGAAATGATAAAACGAGTTTAACACAACTTTTAAGAAATGATAAAATTAGTTTAACACACAACTTTTAAGAAATGATAAAATATGTTAACACACATACTATTTTCATTCTATGTTTAGGGTAAAGACAGCATCAGCAACTACGCCATCAGCTTCCACTACAACCAATATCAAGAGATGTACATCATAGACTTTGTACTTTATAATCTACAAACTTACGGGATAACCCGGCACTAAAAATAGTAACAGAAAAGTAAACCGACAACTACAACATATTTTTTCCATCTAAAATTGAAATTCGGAAAATTGCTGAATATATTAGTGTTGTAACGTAACGGGATTTCCCATTTCGGGACTCCTAAAAAATGGGAAACCTATCGTTTCAAATGAAAACAGAAATACAGGAAATTAGGTATTTTCATGTCTAGAGAGCTAAGTGACAGTCACAGGTCTATATATATATTTATAGTTTATATAAGGTCAAGGTCAGGGTTTTTACTAGTGTTTCATTTTTCAAGATACCTGAAGATCATAAATGATTACAATAATGTTATTAGAAAACTTCGACTATTTTTATAGGGTCGGAGTTATGTTGCCCCGTATGTCTATAATTAGCTTGAAATTGTTATCAGTGAAATGTGCGAATTACAAATGGGTGAGGTATACATGCATAAGATATGAGAAAAGAGGATTAAGTTACTGTAGAATGAAAAACTGAATGGCAAACAAGTCTTTGGAATGTCAGGACACTGTGGCTACACAGGCAACACAGTTCACTTTTAGGTCTATTGGGCAGTTCTTAAGGTCATCGGTTTATTTGGCCAACGGTCAACGAGGGTGTCATGTGGCCAGCATAAAATGACCAACCACCTTTACTTTTCTCCAACTAATGTCAGGTACCCATTAGTATTAGGGGAACTAAGAGGCGCCCTAAAGGTAAGTTCCTATAAAAATAGAAGATTACAAGCCCAAAACGTCCTGCAGGAAAAAAGGGATTGATTGCATAAAGGGTTTGACCTCGGGACCATCGTGGCGACAATCTGTAGTGCATAGTGCATACCACACGATCTGGAATCTAGCATAGATTGCAGATGTTCCGTTTTTTTACTTGCAGTATTGACGCATGAAAGCACAATGTGAGTGAGACTGAATGTGTAACGGAAGTGAGAGAGACTGAATGTGTAACGGAAGTGAGAGAGACTGAATGTGTAACGCAAGTGAGAGAGACTGAATGTGTAACGGAAGTGAGTGAGACTGAATGTGTAACGGAAGTGAGAGAGACTGAATGTGTAACGGAAGTGAGAGAGACTGAATGTGTAACGGAAGTGAGAGAGACTGAATGTGTAACGCAAGTGAGACTGAATGTGTAACGGAAGTGAGTGAGACTGAATGTGTAACGGAAGTGAGTGAGACTGAATGTGCAACGGAAGTAAGAGAGACTGAATGTGTAACGGAAGTGAGAGAGACTGAATGTGTAACGGAAGTGAGAACCAAGTGTATGTGTGTCAGAGGCTAGTGAAGATTTCGGATGTTTTCTCCACCTTTTCTGCAACTAAATATCTTAAACTGTCTTAATGATTCTCTCACCTTGCACACCATCCCCAGTCCACATCTGACGCCGCCACTTCTAAAAAAATATCTTCTCTTTTTTACTCTTAGGCTCTGTGCTTAATTTTTGTGTTGAAATGATGCCCGGTGTTTAAACGCGCATCTGGTACAATAGAACGTTGAAATAATTGACTGAATGTAAATGTAGTTAAATTGGAAATGTGCACTTTATATGTTCTTATTATTCATTGCAAATGACGGATATTGTTGAATATTACTGACTGAATGTAAATGTGGTTAAATTAGAAATGTGTACTTTATATGTATCTTATTAGTCAATACAAATGACGGATATTAGATATTACACTCATGTGACTGCTGTGAAATTATACAAAGAAATATATATCACAGACTTAGCTTTGAACCATGTACCATAAGTGAACGGTTCTCAGCTACTACCCGAAATCTGAATTCTATATCACGGTGCCTTCTTGTCTTAGTGTTTGTGTGAGTATGTGTATGTGCACGTGTGTATGTGTGTGTTTGTGTATGTATATGTGTGTGTGCGTATAGCAAGATAAAAGTATTTTCTTTATGTCAAACTTGAAGTAACGTTAAAATAATATAGTATCATGAAATGTGTAAAGATATAGTATCATGAAATGTGTAAAGATATAGTATCATGAAAAGTGTAAAGATATGGTATCATGAAATGTGTAAAGATATAGTATCATGAAAAGTGTAAAGATATGGTATCATGAGATGTGTAAAGATATAGTATCATGAAATGTTTAAAGATATAGTATCATGAAATGTTTAAAGATATAGTATCATGAAATGTGTAAAGATATAGTATCAAGAAATGCGTAAAGTTATAGTATCATGAAAGATGTAATGCATTTGTATCATGAATTTTGGACATTGTAACGCCTTAGTATCATGAAATTAGGACATTGTAACGCTATAGTATCATGAAATTCGGACATTGTAACTCTATAGTATCATGAAATTCGGACATTGTAACGCTATAGTATCATGAAATTCGGACATTGTAACGCTATAGTATCATGAAATTCGGACATTGTAACGCTATAGTAGTATCATGATAGTATACGAAGTATATCATTTTGAATGAAAATTGACAGGAATTCAAGACCCTAATACGTAAACCATAGCTGAGACTTTCGATAACCTACTGTGTCACCTGCTACCTGCCAGATCAAAAGACCAAAAAGAGCACTAGAAAGTGTCAAGAACACTCGTCATTCTTTAACTGCAATATGTGACCGCAGTGTGCCCCGCTCTTACAAAGGACCCGCGCTAATTCTAGGTGTAAATTATTAAATTAAACCATTTTATAACTTATAACAAAATATACGGAAGCCACTTAATAACTTATAACAAAATATGCGGAAATTATTAAAATCTTTTAAAAACTAAAAAAAAAATTGCAGAACTAAGAGAGTGATTTTTCCTTTACTACTTCTTCTCGTCCAAACTCTTGAGGGAAAGGGAAGAATAGAATTATATATATATAGATGTATATTTACATTATACATGTATCATGTATAAATGATTTCATAATTTGTATTTAAGGATTGTGCCATGCTGCAATACAACTAACAATTTATGGAAATATGTTTGTTTGGTTGTAAAATGTTTGGCATGTTTCGAATGTTCCTTGAGAGTTGAAGATAGTTTACTTCCTAGTCCGAACCTCCCACAGGACGACGGGGGATGGGAGAGGGCAGAATTTGAACCCTCAACCATCGATAAGTCCGCACTTTTCTGTAATGATATTTTTTTTAAGTTAAAAAAACAACAAAAAAAACATTTCTTTTCGTTCACCTTTACTAATTGAAACTCTTTACTTTTGGGTCAAGGATAAAATTCAGTCGAAAGTCGGCACCATTCGTCTTTGTGCGAACCATTATTCTTCAGGTCTAAAGAGTTAATCAAGACATTAAATTTATATATAGAAATATTTCTTAACCAGGTAACAACTTGAGAAACGCTCTGTTCTATTCAACAGTATTCAACAGTAAGAGTTAATTTAATACTCGCAATGGTTATATTGTTTGTAAAAAAATATCTGCACTCTTTTTTTACAATACCTATATTTATTTAATTCTACCCTTCATGGAGGGTGGTCAGACGCTGATCTTCAAAATGGCTCTAACGATTTTCCTAGAAATTCAACAGTTGATTTATATCGCTGAGAAAAGAATTATAATCTCGTTGGCCACATGGGGAAAAGCTAGTTTGGCGGTTGTACTCTTTCAAAGTAAAAATAAATGTAAATTAGGCTAGAGACTAAATCTAGGTCTAGATCCTACATTGGCTTTGAAAGGACTATATGCGGCAACTGGTCTGTCCTTGCACAGGGACAAGGCGATCTTAAAACTCACTGCCCGCTTTCTTTCACGTGATTGAATGGAGTAATCTCAACATTATCACTTATTGGTGGGATGTTTAAGGTAGTGTTAACCGATTATATAATAAAATTACATTCGGCTTTTAAATTAGATACCATTACAATGAATTTATGAATGTGGAACTATTTAATATTCAAATGATAGGATTTGTCTCATTTGACTTACTAAACATTCATTTTAAAGTTGTATAAAAATAATAATAATAAACATAATAGAAATAAATGTAAATTTAAATAAACTACACAAAATTCACATACATTTATTAAAGGCTATTAATTTAAAGAGCAATACACTCACTCTATAAAGTATCTCTATTATATTGTCTCCCCTGAATCTAAAATCTATATACTCTAGTAGTAGAGTACATCTATTGCACCAGCAGAAAGAATCTTTTTCTAAATTGTCATTCGCTCAGCCGTGACAAACATGCTTATAAAAGTTTGCTACATGTCGATGAGATCGATACCAGGACATCGACATAAGGCTAGAATTCAAACATTTCGTTATACAACTTAAACTTCGCACAAAAACTAGGTCAAAACTGTTGACAGGATACAAGCAAAAGTATACCATTTCTACAAATCTTTTTTTTTTTTTTCATATACAAAATGTTTTGAGAGAATTGTAGCTAAAAAAAGAAAAAATAGTTTTCAATACCTGGGCCAATTAATGAAAACCGTGGATGGCTATCTGGTCGTGTAGTTTGTGCGCTGGACTGTCGTTCGCACTTATCGATGGTATCGGATTCAAACCCTGCCCGCTCCCATCAACCGTCGTCCTGCAAGAGGTTTGGACTAGAAATTAAATTAAAGTACATTATCTCTGAAGAAAAATCCGAAACATGTAACACATTTTACCTTACAAGCTTACTTTTATTAATGAAATTAACACAAAATAAAGAAGAAAATTGAATCGATTTTTAGTTCAAATTGTTTTAGTCTTAATCAGCTAGTAATCTAGGATACCGTACAAAAATGACAGCTATTATTAGATATCTAGAAAGACTTCAGGAAGACTCAAAAGTAAAATAGCAATTATACATAAAACACTGAACCATAATCTTCAAATACAAAAACAAAATTTAATACAATACTCAGAGAGACACAAAGATAAAGGCACACATTTATAAACATGCTCCTTCTTCCCAAGTGCTATTAGAGCACGGAATGGGTTGCTTGAGCCAGCCAAGAAAACCAATGACTTGGCAGAATTAAAGTCATTGATTAACACGCATGACTAGATGCATGATGCGTAGGACGTAATCATCTTTTTTTTTTAAGTAACGTCTGTATTTTACAAGATAAGATTGTGACTTTGTTTTAGAACTTTCATAAATAAAAACGAACGATTGTTACCTTGTGTATATGTTATGGCCGAAATAGGAAGTGTGGCTATTTCGCGAATTCGCTGTCATTTCGCAAATCATATACGCATATTTTATTTTATACATGGTGGCCCAAAAGTATATTTACATTTATTAAACTTTTTTTATATGGTTGGTTCAGAAGAAGGGGCAGCATCGAATGGCCACCACGTTCACATGACATGACACACCTATGGATTTCTTTTTGGGGTGTTGTTAAGAACAAGGGAGAAACCCAAAGCGAGAAATGATTTCAAAGAATACATTCGTCTCGCAGTCACTAGATCAGAATTTGTTCTGCGTGTCCTGGAGACATTGGAAGAATGTTGAAATGCAGAGGGAGGATAGTTTTAGCAACTGAGAGATTCAATGGTATAAATAAATAAAAAATAAATTATAGATTGTATATAGCGCTACTTTCAGGATAGCATGCCCAGAGCGCTATGGCCCATTTGTGGAGGGGTATCTGGGAGAAGGTTTTTCCGTGCTTTAGGCAGCTCAGTAAACAAAACTCTGCCCTAGTCGGGTGTCAAACCTCGAGCCCCCTTAATAGGTAGCCAAGTTCAAGCGTACTTAGCCTCTCCAGCCCCTCAATTTGGTAGCCAAGTTCAAGCGTACTTAGCCTCTCCAGCCCCTCAATAGGTAGCCAAGTTCAAGCGTACTTAGCCTCTCCAGCCCCTCAATAGGTAGCCAAGTCAAGCCAAGTTCAAGCGTACTTAGCCTCTCGACCACTCTGTTCTAGTATCGACGTTTCAAATAAATAGTAAATAGTCTACGTGTTAACTGTAAACCTACTCTTGGGCTACCCAGTATGTTACTGGCACGTGATAACTGTAAACCTACTCTTGGGCTACCCACTATGTTACTGGCACGTGATAACTGTAAACCTACTCTTGGGCTACCCACTGGTACAGGCAAAGTACGAGGAACGGCTTTTTATAGTGTAACTTAACTTATAGTGTGATATAATTAACAGTAACCAATAATTAATAGTGAGCTAGAATAAGCCCCCATTGAACAATGAACCCCGATAAAACACTTTTTCTATTACAGTCTTCTATAAAGACCTTATCTAGAAGCTGCAAAGTTACTTAACTTTTTAAAAAATATTATTTAAAGTTGTGTTGTTGCTGGGTTTTTTTTTCTGTTGACAAGCGTCTGTTTAAATAAGAACTGGTCAAGATCGCGAAGTTTCATCTTCTTTGACCTACTAAACCATCTCACTGGACACAATGTGCAGTGGAGCGATTATGAACCTTTTTCTGCCATTTTTTTAGGCTGCATGAATTGCCCTATCTTTATATACGGGCAAATACTACATTATCTTATCTTATATAATACAGACGTTACTTCAAAAAAGAAGATGATTACGTCCTACGCGTCATGCATTTAGTCATGCATATTAACCATTGACCTAAATTTTGCCAAGTCACTGGTTTTCCTGGTTAGCTCAGGCAACCCGTTCTATGCTCTAATAGCACTTCTGGACGAAGGAGCATTAGTACAAATTTGTACCTTTATCATTGTGTCTTTCTGATTATTTTATTAGATTTTGTATTTGAAGATTATGGTGCAGTGTTTTAGTACTAAATCTAGACCTATGTATGACCTAATACGTTTACATTCAAATAACAGCCAAACAGGCGAAAGGAAATAAAGATGGTCGTCACGATCGAGCATAAGCATAAATTCAAAGGGGGGTAATTATGTCAATCCATTTGAATAGAAAAACTCAAGTTATCTCCCTTATTTGCCTTCTTAAAATAGTGTATTTTGTACGAATGAAATATAAGTTAAGACCAAATTTTTCTGGATGACAGATCTAAATGAAAACACATAATAAGACTTGAAACAAAACAAACTATGTACGAA